ATTTGGCTACTCATACTCAATCATCAACTAGTACATGGCAAAGCAGCAGATCTCATAGTACCATCGATTATATCTGGCTAATCACTCAATTCTTTGTTACTTAACTTCATTTAACACAGATGACTCTGACATTAGTACTAGAAGTGATCACAAAATATTAATCTCCTCATGGATATTCTCTTATGCCTTCATAGGCAAACAAAGAGCTATACAAAAACACGAAGAAGGATATTTCTTTACAAGAATATGAATAATGAACAATAGCAAACATATTCAGATCAAATTTCCTCTAATCTCAGAATTAATAAAACTCCACTATCCATAGATACATCAGAAACTCTTAAATATACTTGGCACAAAATACAAACTAGCATTATAAATGCTACACTCCAACATATTTCTAACAAAAAATTTACAGTACGAAACTTCCAACATGTTTACTCACCCAAAGCATCACTATTACACCAACATCTTAAAAAGCTCGGTAATATTATTCAATAAGTCAAAGTATCACTTAAGAACGAACTACCCATACCTACTCAGCACAACTCTACTATTAACCAGATTAATAGCACCCATCAACTAAATATTCTATGCTGGATTCTGCTATTTATAAATGCAAATTTATCTCCTAAAATACGTGTAAAAAAAGAAAATTTTTTGATCTCCACAATTATACTGGGTCTAAAAAAACCAAAAGATCTAAATTTTTGTTTATTTCCTGCTGTTGCTGAACTACAAAGATTAGAAGAAGAAGTAGTGTGTCCTAGTGTTCAACATGAAGATACATTCATATTATGTGGTTGTGTACTATCTTGGTCTGGTAACACACCTGTACTTACAAAATTAATGTATCTTACAGGGCATAATTCATATAGAGGATGCCGCTATTGCAATATTAAAGGTATTTATTCTTCACATATATATTATCCTACCAAACCGCCCAGTGATCAGGATAGTAAAACTTATAATCCTGAAAATCTACCAATTAGAACTTATAATGAATTCAAAGACAAATAAAAAAAATCAAAAAGCACAAACACAATTAGAAAAAAATCAAGCAATAAAACGTTATGGTATTCGCAAACAAAGTATATTATTTAATCTCAATACTACCAACTTTCCAAATACATTCCCTGTAGATATTATGCACTTATTTTATGAGAACATTGCTGGTTATATGCTGGCTCATTGGATAGGTTTTTTTTTTACTGATCAAGACCAAAATAATAGTGAATATGTTTTAAACAAAGAAACATGGAACAAAATTGGAAACAAGATGCATTTAGAGTGAAAAATATTCCATCAAGTTTGGGTCGACCATTGTGAAACATTGTTTTGCATTACTGTAGCTATAAAGCAGAGGAATGGTCCTCTTGGATTACAATGTATTCACTACCATTTCTTAAAAATCAATTGCCTAATAAATATTACAAAGGATGGGGGTTGTTTGTAAAGGCTATACGATTATGTCAAAAAAGAATAATAACATATGATAATTTAAATAAAATTCAATCATGCTTTCTGGCATTTTATACCCATTATGAAAAAGAATATTATCGGGGGGTGTTAGATCATTTAAGCACAATAAAAATATGTATATATAATATGTTACATGTTTCAGAAAGTATCTTTCAAACTGGACCCTGTTGTGCGACATGGCAATATCTAATTGAAAGGATGTGTGGAATGCTACTCCCCTAACTAAATCGAAATTATATCCGTATAAGAATCTTACTAATAATATTCACTTACATGAAATTTTTAATTGTTTAAAATTTAACCAAATAATATATGACCAAATTTTCCTATCAATTTTGTTCAAAATTCATGATGAACATTTAGCTTACACTGGAGAAGGCGGACAGGATTTCTATTTTCCTTCAACTCTACACAAATTAATACAAACTGAATTAAAAAAAATTAAAGAACATTTTTCTACTGTATCAGATGTGCAGCCTATGTCTTTTAGTCAAACAGAAACAAAATATGGTTGGCTTAGAACAAAAGATGGCTATTATATTGAGTCAAAATGGATTCACCATAATAAAAGCTGGTCACAAATTAATTATACTGTTATGGTAAAGATAGAAGTAGATATTTATGTGAACTATTCTAAATGACTGTCAGTATTCGAAGTTCAAGATTTTTATGCTATTGTAAAATATTATTTAGTTTATGAGT